TATATATATATATATATATCCAACACTCCTATTATATTACATTATATTACATTACATTATAAGATAAACTTTAACAGATCATCTTTGCGAATTTAATTTTTCAATCGTTGATTCATAAATGGGAGAACATTATCGTGTCACAATCTCCGCTTTCCTTGCCCCTTATCTTCGAAACCACTGTTCAGATCCGACTCGACAGTCGTTTTCTACGATCGTTTGGACGCGCACGAGGATCATTCGGTTTTGCTTTCGATTTTTCCGTGTACGTCGACGGACAACGTGACCGACGTGGGTCGAGATTACAATAAGGTGACGTCATACCGAACGTGTACCCGGGAAATAGGAACGCTGTAAACTGGATCACCGCTACGATTTATAGCCTGCTTTGGTTTTTAACCAAAGGCTTTATCGCTCCATTGTCCCGTCGCGTTTTGTCGGTCAAGTAATTCAAGCGGTTGGACACCGGGGGTCACCTCTCGCGGTCACCATCCCTCCCTCGTCCCCGATTGAAATTCACATCATCGTAAAACATCGAGGAGAGGAAAAGAAAAAGAAAAGAGAAGAAAAAGAATCATCGGATTATCCTAAATCATACCGTAACGATCCTCCATTCACTCTCGACTCGAGATCGAATAAAACGAATGTTAGAAGACGTTTACGACTTCCTGGCAAGGTTTCTCATTTTCCCAGTGGATCATTTTCGTCCCGTCGTAACGAGGAATCTTATTAATAACTCTCGTAACCAAGCTTTACGTGGGAAATTTCATTTAGAAATCGCTCACGGAAAGATTCAGTGTATTAAAATTTCTGATCCGAAAAATACGAAATGTGATTTACAATTCGCGTTTCTATTTCGAAATGATTCAATCTTGAGAATAAGAGTTTATTCTCCCGACGTAATATCACTTATTTACGAGTTTACAAATAACATTTTTCCAAAGAATATTCATACATTGTTGCACAACCTTTTCGAAAAAAAGTCGTATTACGAAATTTCAAGCAATGACAATTATCAAATATTCCAAGAGGTGGCGACACATGGCTCGTATCGGGGCAAATATTCATACATTTTTGCATAACCTTTTCGAAAAAAAAGTCGAATCTACGAAATTTCAAGCAATGACAATTATCAAATATTCCAAGAGGTGGCGACACATGGCTCGTATCGGGGCAAATATTCATACATTTTTGCATAACCTTTTCGAAAAAAAAGTCGAATCTACGAAATTTCAAGCAATGACAATTATCAAATATTCCAAGAGGTGGCGACACATGGCTCGTATCGGGGCAAAGTTTTGCCACCGTTGACCGAATACTGTGATTCAGAACAACGATTCCAAAGCGAATTCCGACGAGCATTGAAAGATCGCGGCGCGATCCAATGACGGGGCGCATAAATAACACGGAAAATAGACGACAGCGACAAAGCTAGCGTTGATTTCGCTAGTGAAGGCGCACGAGCGGCGAGCAAACGAAACGGTCTACCGAGATGGATTTATGCCAGCGTCATTAGGGATTAATTATACGCCTTGTCAGCCAGCTGTGATGCGCGTTCCACCGATGGCCCAGCACGCGAGAGTCGCTCCCAGACGCGCAAATATACAGAAGAAGAAGAAGAAGAAGAAGAAAAGGAGGAGGTGAAACGGAACGATCGCAAAAGGGAAGCCGAAGAAGAGAGGCTGCGAGGCAGAGAAGCGTTGTTCCCTCGGTGGTTGCGTGGATGCGACCGGGATGATTTACACCTCGTACTCGAATATCGCACACGAGAGAAGTGGAATAAGCCACGGTTTTACGTTAACGTTCGACGAATCGGTCGGTGCACGCTTTGTTCTCTAACGAACGACCGGCCAATTTCATTGGGGGGAGGGCAGCTGGCCGAGTTAAACGGTTGCCATTCCCTCGAGTGATATATGGTGGATTCGATGTGTCGCTACCGCGCTTTTCAATCGTGAATGCGAAATTGTGAAGGCCGTTTTGCGATGAGGCATCGACTCGTTTAAGTTCCGATCATGGAACATTTTATCGTTCGATTGAAAGAAAGGAATTTTCCTCTATAAAAATAACGATTATTTAGAATCTCGAGCGATAAGATCGCGAGAGGGAGCTGAAAGCGGATTTTTATGCCATCGTAAAAATTCATTTCGCGACACGAAAACGACGGAGTCCAACGGTGATGCTGGTTTCTCAAGCGGGTAACGGGGCGGGTAGGTAGTAGTGCGTGAGTTTCACCGAGATCCGTATTCCCATGGGGTCCCACACGAAGAGATTTCTGGATTACGATCCGTCCTTTTGATAGAAACTTATATGGCAAGAAAACGGATGGCGTATTCGGCATTAAGGAAGTACGTGAGTCTAGAGCGGTCGGTGCTTATGGGTGCGTTTCAGTTTCAGTCTGTCTCCCTCGGCTCCCCGCCTTTTCACGTTTCCTTTTTCTCTCGCGAATTGACGACGTCCACCTCCTAAAACGGGCGGATGAACTTCCCTCGATCTGATGGCCACGTAAACGCTCCGCTTCCATTCGCTTGACAAGAGTATATATGCGTTATCGTCGTTCCAAGAAGCAAAACGATATCCGAGAGAATTCTTTCCATCGTCGAATGCCTGATTTATAAATTTTATCGCGTAATCTAGCGAGAGATGCTGAGGTTTTTTTTTTTTTGATTGAGATTCGGTTTTCGATAACTTAGGAAAAAATACGAAACGATCTATTCGAATGCAATTTAATTCTTTTTGTTAATTATTATTGGAGTATTATTTTAAATTTTTTTAAGTGCTATTTTATTTGGTGTATCGATGTAAATTTTATACAAATTTGTTAACAAATTATTAAATTTCTTAAGGATAATTGTACATTACAATATTGAATATTACTTAAAATAATAATGCATACTGTCATCGTGAATTATTTCATTTCATACAAAAATTGATGTAAATTGAATCGAAGTTTATTTATTATATTTTAAATAGAACGAAATCTACGTATTTATATTACCATTCTATTTTCATCGTTTCGTTTAACATAAATTGTTTGTATATACGGATAAGCCTTTGTTTTGAAAATCGATTCTCGAAAGTCTATATTCCACGAATTTACGTATCAATATTTTGTATATACAGAAATACATATAGAAAGAAATATAAATATCGCATGAAATTAATCTAAATTTGAATTGTTTGTATATACGGATAAGCCTTTGTTTTGAGAATCGATTCCCGAAAGTCTATATTCCACGAATCTACGTATCAATATTTTGTATATACAGAAATACATATAGAAAGAAATATAAGAAATATAAACATCGCATGAAATTAATTTAAATTTTGTATATACGTATATACGGATAAGCCTTTGTTTTGAGAATCGATTCCCGAAAGTCTATATTCCACGAATCTACGTATCAATATTTTGTATATACAGAAATACATATAGAAAGAAATATAAGAAATATAAACATCGCATGAAATTAATCTAAATTTGAATTGTTTGTATATACGGATAAGCCTTTGTTTCGATGAGTCAATTCTCGAAAGCCGATATTCCACGAATCGACGTATCAACGTTCCCGTATATACAAACATACAATAATACCTTCTACAGAAGATTGAACGCGTAAACTTTTAATTCGATCAGTTTCAACTCGGTTTCTGTGGGAATAAAAGGCGATGAAAGATTTTGACGAATGTTCGTCCGCTCGGTTTCGCGAGTTTCTCCAGAACCGCGAGCGCGTTCATTGCTATACATTGGTCGGTAGGCCGGCCAGATCGTAAGTAGTAAATCGTTTTCTTGCCCCACTGTTTATGCAGGGTGATTGATGAAGTTGCATTAATATTTCCGTAGCAGGAGCCTTTACTCACCCGTTGCGCGCCTCGCGCGAGTAGCGTCTTACACGTTAGCCGGCCGCAATAAAATATGTCTCAGCCGAGCAGATTTACGATTTACGGAGGGATAGATATCCCTTGCAACCATTGTGTCGATATCCACGATTATCGTATATTTCGTACATATATATAAATACGGACGACTCGGGAACTCGATCATCACCAGGCCTCGTCCGGATTTTTTCGTAGAATCGTCGATAATTAGTAACCAGAGTCTGGTACTATATTCGATAAATCAATCCAGAGCAGGATCCAGCCCCTCTCGCGGGGCAAGTAGGTCGTTCTTCCCTCCCCCCTCCCTCCTACTCGCGAAGAAATTCTGCTCTGCATGCACGCACGCGGCAAAAAGGCCCCGCGGTGCACGAGAGGATCGGCAACCTGTAATTACGCGTATTGCGGATCGTCCTCCTTCTCTCTGCCCGTCCACGTCCGCTTTACTTTATATCCGGTACATCGTTCGTCGAAACGAACTCTCGTACACGATCATCGCATCTTCGACCCCGCTACCTTCTCAAGAGGATCCTCCGGCACCACACGAGGGATCTTTATCGGTGTCGTCGATCTTCCTTTCTAACTAACGATACCGGCGAACAGCCAGGGATATGCCATCCGGGGCATATGCCTAGATACTCTCCCCCTCCTCCTCCTCTCTCTTCCTCCTCCGCCTGCTCCTCTCCGGAACGCAATCTGTTCGGATCGTGGCGAGCGAGGGAATCGAAAATCGGTCATTTAAACAGCCCAGTCATCGCGATAATTCTCCCTGCCTGGAAGATTTATGCACGCGGTTGTTACAGTTGCGCGATTGTTCGCTTTCACCCAGAAGGGGGAGAGAAAAGCCGGCACCGGAATCCCTCCGCGGTCGGGACAGAGATCTACGGCAGGCGGTTGAACGGAGGAGGCCGGTGAAAGCGGAGATGCGACCAGGTGCGGCCTCTGGATAGCTGAGCGGATTTCGGGATCACCCGATGGACAGGTAGGGACGAGCGCGCGGCAGGTGTAGTAGCCTGGAGGCGAGGAATCGCGGAACGGGCACTCGAGTGTTGCGTGGNCGCGTTTCTCAGGGTGGCTGCGATGCGTCACACACGCGAATCGCGCGCGAGAAAAGAGGGAACTCGAGGATGGACGGCGGGGGGAGAGGAAGAGACAAGAGGGAAGGAGATGATACCTCCCCCTCCTCCTTCTTTGCCGCGTTCTTTTCTTTCGTCGCTGGTAACGCGAGAGAGTCGAGAGAGGACCTGTAGGCGAACTATGCCGGGTATCCAGGCTGAAGGTTGGGCAGAGAACTAACCAGCTAGGCTAACCAGCCAGGCAAACCAGCCCAGGATATATCCTGAGAACAATCGGACCTACCGACTGACTGGCGTGGGCGAGCCACCGGCGAAACGCGCATTCTTAGCGAGCACTTGCGCTAAAGGGTTATTACGTTTACGTGGCCCGATGGGCCAACGAAAGCGACGATTATTTAATTTATTGGGATTCAAATTTGGATATGGGATGGAATTCGTTTTATCAACAATGGGAATGGAGAATGGATTTTCCTTCCTTGATTGTTTAATAATAGATTTTTGGGCCATTTTTCGGGAACGAAAGATTCGTGTTGAAGTGGAAAGATCTGAGATATTCGTAAGATGTTGTGCGCGAGATAAGTAACGAGATTAATGGCGCGACTTGCGTAATTCGGAGAAATGGATCTCTTTAATAGGAACAGTAGAATTCCATTTATTGGAACAAAAAAAAAAAAAAGAAAATACAGTAGATTAATGCGCTATGTACGAAACGACCTAGATGTAGTATGATTGGATCCACTTAAGTGAACGTGAATTCCGGTTATTAGAACGAAAAAAATCACAAATAGGGAGAGAAATCGGTGGATTCCTATTACACGAACAATTTGGTTACACGAGTTACATGTTCTTCAACCAGTTTAATATAAGCTTTATGATTTCGTTTCGAAATTATAATACTTTGAACAATTCGTAAATTCTTAGATTCCATTAAATTTTTCAATTTTTCCACGGAAGGAATGATTTATTAGTGTCGAATCGC